CATTGAATGAGCCTCCTCCATCTGAAAGATATTGGGAGCTCCACATCAGTAACCATGCATATTGCAAAGAAACCTTTATATGCAATTAACTAACGACAGGTTATGTGATTTTGATAAATTATTTCTACCTTAAAAACTTCTGGATTTTGGCGCCAACAATTTTGGGGCACCCTATATATATATATATATATATATATATATATATATTATATATATATATAAGTAATAAAAGTTTATCCTTTATATATATAAAGGATATTCATACTTTGGGAGGGATATAAAATAATTTCATTTGTAAACTCATGATTCCAAGTCATCATCTAAATTATTATTAAATATTCAGTGGAACGGAGCGCTATAAGTTACATGATCTGAAGTCTTTTGAATGGAGAAAAAAACTTTATATACTCATGGCATAATAACTATCGTGGATAGTTCTGTGTATTTCTCAACTGTGCCTTCTAATACGCGAGATTCCTCAGCTAAGATTTCAACCATGCCAGCACGATCCCAAATTAAGCCGCAGTTTTTCAGTGCCAGAGTCTGGTCAAGCTTCAAATCATTTTCTCTTCGTAATCTCGTTGTAATCTTTGTTGCCTTCTTATTCTTACCGCACGGTTGAACGGTTGTGGTTGGGTAACTCTCTATTTTTGAACTACTTACCCTTCTTTGGATCGAATGTTTATTGCCTCTACTACTATACTGGATCTATCTCATTGCTGAAGGATTGTACAGTTGTGATTCCTTGTGGCGAAGATCCAATTTCCTTATTCGGTTGCCAGAAGTACAAGTGTGTTTTGTAATATTCCTTCTATTTCCTGGGCTCGGTGATTCCATACTATCTGACTGGATCGTCGTTCATCAAAGAAAACACCGCTGCGGCCTCATTCTGTTCCACCAGCTAAACGAAAACTTTTGGAATTCTATTCTTCTGACAAGGACGATCAACTTCTGGAGGATGGAGGTTAATCAATCTGGATAAGAAGCTTCTTGACTATGTAAAAGTAATCCTGGCTGTGCTCATGGACACTAGGGATCAACTGGTTTGTTAAGTTATCGGATGTGAACGAAAAACTCAAGCAGGAGAATGTAATACTCAAAAAATCCTAAGAAAGCGGAGACACCCAATCAAATTCACAGGTACTTCCTCCAACTCTTTTCCCTCATATATCCGACTTGAATCCTGTTGAGAGCAAGTCAGATAGATTTCGTTCCATCATTATTTCGAGGGGCCTTAATTTTCTTTCGCATCATCGGCTGATAGGGCTTATCGTGAATTAAACACACTTAATTAAATACTCAATCATCTTGATTTTCAAGGCATTCCCTCCAGTGTATATCGTCTTGATGTATTCCCTCCAGTGCTCGAGCATGGCTTGTAAAAGTAGTCTTACCCAATTCTAAATTTCAACATGTTCTTCTCCAGAGTGCTTCTCGTTTTCGGTCGTTCTTTCATAAAGAGATCTTTATCCTCCCCTCTCCCCAAAGAAGAAAGAATACGCATCCGAGAAGTGCGTTTGGCCGACTCAAGTAAATCTGTAAACCATCACCCCGGTCATATTATTAATGAGACTACTTAGATAAATCCTCCTATTTCAATAACTAGTGGTGATATCTCAAAAAAATAGTTTTTCTTGAATTGCTTCTGCACTAATACCCGTCTTTTATTAGAAAATGCTGATGTTATGACGGCTTACCTCTGTTACGAAAACTGTGACCTTGCAATCCTGTCTGAAACAGTTGAATTCTAAGCATGATTTTGTCTCGCTACTAGGTATTGCTGCATCACATTATACATGATACAGAACTGATAGAAAATTCAACAAGGGAGGAGTCGCCATACTAGTAAAATCTCAGCATTCTACAGCTGTCGTTCTGGGTGAATCTATCCAAACTCCCTATGAAATTTTGTTCGTGACAGTGTTTTACACCCTGATGAAATATGATTGATCGAGCACAGAGCATCTAATGATACCACTTTTTAAAGTTATCGGCTTCTTGAGGCCCTTAGTAATCTTGAGATTTCAATCTGCAGCAAATTACATGGTTTCCCCGAGTTGAAAGCAATGATTGCATCGGAACTAAGTTTACTGAATGCTTTGCCTTTCATGATTTTAGCCAATTTATCTCATTACCCATTAGACTGGGTTAAATCCCTGAATCTTCGTGCTCTGTTGCCAGCTCTCAGGCGTCTTCTTCTCTGCAACGAACTGGTTGAGGAATTCCGTCAACCATCCTGCAGGACTCCAGCCTGCCGATTTCCTCAAGTCCGCTGCTAAGTCGTCAGGACCAGTTGCTTTGCCTGATTTCATCTTCTTCATAGCCGTAATGGTCTCACCCACGGTTATCTTCTGAACGGGACCGTGTCCTGGCGGAGCGCAGGGGATGGCGGGATGAGCGAATTCGATTGATGAGATGTTTGCGAAATACTCTCGCCATCGTTTCAGTGTTTGCCTGCGGTCCGTTAAGAGGTGACCGTTCTCGTCATTTATGCCGAAGA